CTAAGAAACTAAAAAAAAAAAAAAAAATAAAAAAATAAAAGAAAAACAAGCATCCCTAATATGATGATCAGCCTGTAGTGACGTTGGAAATAATGACAAAAACCACCGAATAGGAAGACGAGAAGCTTGTTGGGGGGGGGGGAGAAGAGGGGAAACGATTCGTAAACAGGGATTACGTGGACGAAGGGAAGTGCGTAAGGAAGGATCGGAGAGGCGGAGAGGAAATGTCGCCCTTGGGATCGGCGGAAGGAATTAGGGATTGTGTCACTCGCCGCACCGCCATAATAGGGACCCGGAGTTGCTTAGCGAGAAGTTGTCTTCTTCTACTTCTTCTTTTTTCTTCTTCTTCTTTTTTCTTTTTTTCTTCTTCTTCTTCTTTCTTTTCTTTCTTTTTCTTCTTCTTCTTCTTGATCTTTTTCTTCTCTCTTCTTCTTTTCTTTTGTGTTTTTTCTTTCTTCTTCTTTCTGCCTTCGGGACGAGGAAGCTAGGGTTTATGAAATGATTGCGGCGGGAGGTTTAGGGCTTGAGGTGGTGGGGGGTGGGGTGGGGGGGGCATGTAAGCGCTCCTTGTTCAAAAGCGAATTGCGGTGAACTGAAAAGGGGGGGGGGTGTGTGTGTGTGTGTTCTTGTTTTTCTTTCTTTCTGAGGAGAGACTTGGGTGATTTTAGTTTTAGGCCTTTTTATTGATTATTTTGTTGTTGGAATTACTGTTGCTGTTATTGTTATTGTTATCATTACCACTGTCATCATCATTCATCATCATCACCGTCGTCGTCATCATCAACATCATCATTATCGTCAATCATAATTATCATCAATCATCATTATCATTATCAATCATCATTATCATTAATCAACATCATTATCATCAATCATCAATCATCATTATTATCATCATCATCATCAATCAATCATTCATATCATCATCATATCATCATCATCATCATCATCATCATAATCATCAATCAATAATCATCATTAATAACATCATCTCATAATCATCATCATCCATGCATTACCCACCGCCTCGACCTCCGCCGCCTCCACAACCTCCGCCGATAAGGTCAATTAGATCTCTAACATCACCATCGTAAAGAAGACAGTAAGAAGCGAGAGCAGACGAAGAAAAACTGAAAATAAAAGTTTGTGGTTACAGAGGATCAGATAAAAGAGATTGGGGGGGGGGGGAAGAAATCAGAAGGGACACAAGAGACAATGACGATAAAGAGAATAAGGAAGAGGTACGTTGGAGGAAGAGGCAAGAGTGAGGAGTAAGAGAATGGGGGAGGAGGAGAAGGAGGAGGAGGAGAAGAGAAGGAGGGGGGGAGTGCATAGTTTAGCGAGACGGCCTCACTTTTTCCCCTCGTTCCTGACGAAATATAGCAAGGAGAATGGGGCAATCTAGGAAGACGTACAGTAGCCCGCGGGTTAATGGCACAGAAGGGGGGGGAGGGTTTGTTTGTGTGGGGCCGTAAGTGTGGGGAAAGAGAGACCGCATTTCGGTGGTACAGCGTGGGCAGGGACGTGAAGGGATGCGATCTTTTCCACGCGAGCTGTGTGCGTGTGTACTTGTAATTGCGTGTGCAGTTATGCGTGCCTGTTTGTGTATACATGCGTGTGTTAAGTTCGTGCAAGGAGAGAGAGGGGGGGAGGGGGGGAAGGATGGGGAGGGGAAGAGAGAGAGGAGAGAGAGAGAGAGAGAGAGAGAGAGAGAGAGAGAGAGAGAGAGAGAGAGAGAGAGAGAGAGAGAGAGGAGAGAGAGAGAATGCGAAATGCGAATAGGTACGGCTAATGTGGGAATGCGACGCAAGTTGCACGGGAAAAATTGATGGCAGTTATAGGAAGCTGTGCAACCAGCCAGAAGGAAAAGCCAAACGAGAAGCGCAAGATGAAATCAATAGCAGCAAGACAACTAGCTTGTGTCTGTTGCGGAAAGACGGCAATCGTAAAGGGAAACAGCGACAGTCGTGGATAAAAGGAGAGAGGAGAAAATAAAAAAAAAGCAAGAAAAAGAGAAAAAAAAGAAGAAAACTTTATCTCTAGGATACAGATTACAATCTCAGGGAACTAGCAAGCTTAAGAAATTTAATCGCACGGAGAAACAAAGCATTCATGGGGAAACATACGGCTGCTGAGTTGGGGAAGGGGTGGGGGAGGGGGGGGGAGGGGAAGAGGGAAACGGGAGGCGATAAAAGTCGAGTATCTTGAGAAAACAGATGACATCTTTTGTGGGGTTATCGCGCTGGAAGTACGAGGACGTCCTTTGGGTTTGGCACTGGATAAGGGGGTGGGGGTGTTGGGGAAGAGGGAAAGGGGGGGGAGGGGGAGGGAGAAGAGGGAAGGGGGGGGGGGAGGGAGAAGACGGAAAGGGGTGGGGGGTGAGGGGATTCTGCGGGGATCAGGCGAGAGAAAGAAAAAGACTTGAGAGACGTGGCCACCAACTAGCCAATCCGCGACGTCTACCCGGTGTCTTGGGTGGCACATCCACCTTGGGAAATAAGGGAGGGAGAGCCGGAGTTAGATTGCGTCGAGATGCGGGCGGGGACTCGGTTCATTCAGTCGTTCGTTCGTCCGTCTCTCTCTCTCTGTTTCTCTCCATACATACATACATGTGTGTGTGTGTGTGTGTTTGTGTGAGTGAATGAATGATATCGCTCTTTCTTTTTCCATACTTCCGTCATCCTTCCTGCTCCCTCCTCTTCTCTCCTATTTCCTATCCCATCCCATTCTGTCCTATCCTATCCTAATCCCTTCCCTTATTCCAGCATTCTTAGCATTCTTCGCAGATCATGCTGACCAGTTTACAACGAACAAAGATCCTGGTTTATACGGTAAATTTTATTTCTATTCTGCATTTACTGCCATTGAAGGCCTGTCCTGCCTCGTAATGCGAGCTCAGGTTGTAGCATTTTAACCCGAGTTTAGAATATAACTGATTAAGTTTTAATCTGGCGGATTCTCGAGTTTAAAGCCTTCCCAACTTTTTTTTCAGTTTGCGCACTTCAAGGGTTTTGTCACATTGCGTGTGGGCTTAGAGACAGAAAGGGAAGGAGGAAGAAGGAGAAGGAGAAGGAGAGAGAGGGTGGTAAGAGAGGAAGAAAGGATGAAAATGAGAGGGAGTAAGATGTTTAAGAATAAAACATAAAAAAGGAAAAGAGGATGATCACTAAGATGTACATGTGGATGCCACTTTCTTGAAATTACCAGCATGTACTGTGCACGACTGCACGTAATAAGAGGAAGAAAACAAAGTTAAAGGGCAACGCCGGGGGAGTGCGAATGAGCAAGAAGGTGACACGGGCAGGCAGCTGCTGCAGGAGGGGCAGGAAATGACAGCGGACATGGAACAGAGTGGAGGGTAGAGGAGACTCGACGGAACGGAGGGAGAGGGAAATGATAACGTAGTAAGACATAAGCGAGGAAAGAAAGGAAGAGAGGGAAAGGGAAAAGTTAAGCAAGGAGGAGGAGAGTATTTTTTAATATGTATTTCTGGTGAGAAATCATGCTATTCAACAAGAGCGTGTCTAAAAAGGGCTGTTGAGGCAAGAGTTGGAAGAAGCGAGAGAGGGGAGAGTGGGGGGAAAGGAGATGAGAAGGAGCAAAGAAAGTGAGGGGAGGCAGAGGCAGAAGGAGAAAGAGAGAAGGGAAGGACCGAGGGCACAGGGGTGCGAAGCAAACAAAGAGAAGGAGAGGGAGAAGAGAGGTGGGAAGGAGGGGAAGAGAAGGTGTAATGGAAAAAAGGGAAGAGAAGTGGGAAGGGGAAGAAAAGTTGAAAGGGATGGGGAAAAGACAAAGAGAATGGGGGAATGGAGAAGAGGAGAAAAATGAGGGAGGTAAGGATGGGAGGGAAAGACGCCACATAAGAAGGTAATCCCTATAGATCATCTCCGTGATTATAACCGTGTGTGCAGGAGACCCGTTCCCGCCTCTGCTCCCTCCTTCCCCACCCACCCCTATTCTTTCTTTCCTCCTCCCTCCCTCCTCCCCCCTTCACCTCGCCCTCCATCATAAGCACAATAGAGTTGTATAGGGAAGGCAATTTAGCCGCGCTACTCCTGCAGGATGGGGTCGTTAAATGGGGTATTTAGGGAAAGGAGGTAAAGAGAGGGTCTGTGTGCGCAAAGGTGATGGCGATCAATTTGGGAGGAAGGGAAAGAGCGGGTTAGGGAGGAGGAGGGAGACGCAGATTAATGCTAATGTTGGTGCTGTTTTTTACTGGCCTTAGCAATGTTAGTGTGATTATTACTGCGGAGATCCTTACAGTCATTCATTTTAGTGTTTTTTTTTATCACCAAGGGCAGCTTTTTGTTATGGAATATTATTGTTTTTATGAGAGGATTTTTTTCTTGTATTTTTCGTGTATTGTTGCTATTGTTCATTGTTGTTTGTTACTTATTTAATCACCATAGTCATCATCGATTATTGAATATTGATATTGATCTTATTGTTTCCTTCATAATGGCAGCGGAATAAATCTTTCCTCGTTTCCGTCTGAAAAATGAGAAGCCAGAAATACTTACAAGATAAGGAAAACAGAATCCGGATGAGCATCATCATCGTAAAACGTTTCCATATTTACACTGTCCGTTCGTGAGCGTCTGTGCTTATTATTGTTGGTGTGTTTTTTTATCATCAAATTATGCTTGGTACGAATGCCTGAATTTTCATTTTGTGTATGAGCTTGTCATTTTGTGCGCATGTTGTGTGTGCTTGATGATTTTTATGAGAGAGAGAGGGAGAGAGAGTGAGAGGGAATGTGAGTGAGAGTGAGAGTGAGAGCGAATGTGAGTGAGAGTGAGAGCGAATGTGAGTGAGAGTGAGTGAGTGAGAGTGAGAGCGAGTGAGTGAGCGAATGTAAGTGAGAGTGAGAGTAGTGGGGTGAATGAGTGCGTGTGCATGTGTGTCAATCCGTCCGTGCATACTTGCTGGCTTACTTTTTTATAGTGGGTGTCAGGGTGAGTGTAGGTGGGATTATTTATTTGGCATGCAAAACCCAATCCTTAGCCCTGTGAAATTTTCTTTTTGCCCATATACATATCTTCGGGACCTACATGACGAATGTAAATCCTGCGCTTTTTATGAGCAACGCTAAAATGTTTATTTGAGGTCCTTCACCCTTGCTTGTACACTCATGATTTTTGGTTGGAAGGAAGTCATCTTCGTCTGATTACGCTTGCACCCCGTTCCCCCGTCTAACCCCCTCCCCTCTCTCTTTCGTTCTCTTCCCTACCTCCGTCCCTTTCCCTCTCTTCTTCTACCTCCCTCCCTCCCTACCTTTCCCTCTCTTCTACCTCCTTTCCTCCCTACCTTTCCCTCACTTGTTCTGCCTCCCTTACTCCCTCCCCTTTCCCTCACTACTTCTACCTCCCTCTCTTCCTTCTCTTTTTTATCTACATTATCTATCTTTGCTCATTTTGGCTCTCTCTCTTTCTCTTTCTTTTTCTCTTTCTCTTTCTCTCATCCCAGCAGCAATTCCGGGAAACAGGTTATGAATATGTCAGGCGGGAATTGCTATCGAATTCAGTTTTGTAGCTATTGGCAAAGTTAATTGTAGCCCGGGTTATGTGGAGGGCTCTGTGGCGATTCCATTTGTTGAAATGTTTTTGTTGCGTGCATGTGCGCCATGTGTGTGTGTGTCTGTGTGTCTGTGGATGTCTTTGTATTTGTGTGTTACTATCGGTTTCCTTTTTGCGTGTGTCTCGTGTGTGTCCAGGTGAATGGATGTATAAGTGTGTATTATGATTAGAGGATTGGATAAACGTGCATGTGTTTGGATAACTAGCTTTTAGCGTGCGTCTGCCTTTGTTTACCTATCAATGTTTACCCGTTATTATTGTTTTTTTTTTCCCTTTTGTCTGCCTTTATGCCTGGCCGTTTCGATTGGTCTACGGAAGGAATTATGAACGGGTGTTGATTCTGTTTACTGTGGGAATTTTGACCAAGTGGGCGTAACGAGGTTTTGTGTGCGGTGTAGCGGCTGGTTCTATTTTTTAAAAACAATTTTGCCTTCTGCCTCAATTTCTCTTTCTTTTTAAATGCAATATATGTAATATCTGTTTATTTTGTTTGTTTGGTTTGTTTATTTTTTACCTGTATATTAGCTGTCTACTTTTTTTTATAATATGACAGATATGCTCAAACACTTACACATATTCAGTCATAAACACAAATGTTCGTTCACTCACATATTTATGTACGTACTTTCACGTGTACTATATTGTATCTGATGTTTGTTTCAATGTTTATAATAAGTAATCGTAAATGCGAATCATGCCTGTACCGTGGCGCGCAATTTTATTAAAGCCGAAATTCAAATTACCAAAACCGCTCTGCCTTTTCATCCCCCTCCCCTTTCTCCCCTCTTCCACCCCTTCCCTCCCTCACAACTGTTTTTCTGTCCCATTCTCCCTCTCTCCTCCCCCACACCATTTATCGTTCCCTTTCTCCTTCACTCTTTCTCGCTCCACTCCCCCCCCCATTTACTCTCTCTTTTACCCTACTTCCACGTCTGCCCCCCCCTCCCCTCCCTCAGACCTTTTTTCCTCCACCTCTCCACCTTCCTATATCCTATCGTTCCCCCCCCCCCCCTTACCATTATCCCCCCCACCTGTCCTTTATTTTTAAAAGCAGTAATTAACTCTCTCCATCTCCTCGCACAGGTGAGTACCCTGGCAGCGCACGAGGGCATCGCCACGTGGGTAAGTGCCGCTCCGGACTATGACGGGGAATTGGATGCCATGTGTCGTGATTGGCACTATCGTTACTGCTGTTGGTTTTATTTACCTTTGGCTTTTTGTTTGTGTTCTTTGCCATGCCTCGATGTTTGGTTTGGAAGTTTGGTCTCGACTGTTTTGTTTTGTTTCCCGTGCTCCTATTTTGTTATTGTTGTTGTTATTGTTGAATGTTATTATTATTATTTATTTATTATTATTATTATTAATTATTCTATTATTATCTATTGTTGTTGTTGTTTTGTTGTTGCTATGATACTGTAATTATTTTTTGAATTGTCGACGTTTTCAACGTTCATTTGTATATTCATTGTTTCTCGAGTTTAAATTCTCTCTCTCTCTCTCTCTCTCTCTCTCTCTCTCTCTCTCTCTCTCGTGATCTTCTCTCTCTTCTCTCCTCTCTCTCTCCTCTCTCTCTCCAATGCTCTCGTCCTCATCTCATCTCCAATTGCTAATCTATGAAGACTCTCTTCGTCTCGTCTCCTACGTCATTCCTCCGGCATCTCTCTCTCCCTTCCCGTCGTCTCTCTTTCTTCACCATTGCCATCTCTCTCTCGCTTCCTTGANCTCTCTCTCTCTCTCTCTCTCTCTCTCTCTCTTCTCTCTCTCTTTCCTCTCTCTCTCTTTCTTCCTTCTCCCTTTCTCTCCTCTCTCTTCCTCTCTCATTCCTTCCCTCCCTCCTTCTCCCTCCCCCTTTCTCTCTCCATCCCCTCTTATCCCTTACCCTCCCCGAACCCACCCACCCTCCTCCCCCTTTCCCCCTCCACCCACCCTCCCCCTTCCCTCCTTCCCCCCTTACCCCTTCCCTCCCTCCCCAACCTTTCCTCCCTCCCCCATCCTCCAACCCACCCACCCTCCTCACCTGAGATACTTCTTTGAACTGATAACAGTCCACATATTCTCATCTGGCAACTCGCCGCTCCTCTCGTTTCCTCTCTCTCTCTCTCTCTCTCTCATTGCTCTCTCTCTCTCTCTCTCATTCCTCTCTCTCTCTCTCATTCCTCTCTCTCTCTCTCTCTCTCTCATTCTCTCTCTATCTCTCTCTCATTCCTCTCCTCTCGTCTCTCTCTCTTCCATCTCTCTCTCCTCCTCACCTGAGATACTCCTTGAACTGATTAAAACAGTCCCAACATATTCTCATCTGGGCAACTCGCCGCTCCTCTCGCCGTTCTCTCTCTCTCTCTCATTCCTCTCTCTCTCTCTCTCATTCCCTCTCTCCTCTCTCTCTTCTCTCTCTCTCTCTCTCATTCCTCTCTCTCTCTCTCTCTCTCTCTCTCCCTCTCTCTCTTCTCTCTCTCTCTCTCTCTCTCTCTCTCTCTCTCTCTCTCTCTCATTCCTCTCTCTCTCTCCTCACCTGAGATACTCCTTGAACTGATAACAGTCCCACATATTCTCATCTGGCAACTCGCCGCTCCTCTCGCCGTTCCTCTCTCGTTCCTCTCTCTCTCATCCTCTCTCTCTCTCTCCTCTCTCTCTCTCTCATTCCTCTTCTCTCTCTCTCTCTCTTCTCTCTCCTTCTCTCATCTCTCTCTCTCTCTCTCCTCATTCCTCTCTCTCTCTCTCTCTCTCATTTCCTCTCTCTCTCCTCCCTCACCCTGAGATACTCCTTGAACTGATAACAGTCCCACATATTCTCATCTGGCAACTCGCCGCTCCTCTCGCCGTTCCTCTCTCTCTCTCTCTCTCTCTCTCTCTCTCTCTCTCTCTTCCTTCTCTCTCTCTCTCTCTCTCTCTCTCTCTCTCATCCTCTCTCTCTCTCTCTCTCTCTCTCTCTCGTCTCTCTCTCTCTCTCTCTCTCTCTCTCTCTCTCTCTCTCTCTCTCTCTCTCTCTCTCTCTCTCATTCCTCTCTCTCTCTCTCTCTCACCTGAGATACTCCTTGAACTGATAACAGTCCCACATATTCTCATCTGGCAACTCGCCGCTCCTCTCGCCGTTTAAATACTTGCACTGGATGGCGTTGTTGCTCAGATGGATCGCCTCGTTGTTGTTGGTGAGGTCGTACTGTTGCGAGCAGAAGCGTAGTTCTCTGCGAGGAGCGGGAGAGAGAGAGATAAGTACTATAGATAAATGGGGGATAGAAGGAAGGCAGGTAGCGACGGGCGGGGAGAGAGAGAGAGGGGATAAGTAACTATAGATAAATGGGGGGATAGAAGGAAGGAAGGAAGGAAGGGGAGGAAGGACAGGAGCATTCTCTGCGACGGGGCGGGGAGAGAGAGAGAGGGGGGATAAGTAACTATAGATAAATGGGGGGTATAGAAGGAAGGAAGAAGGGGGATAGAAGGAAGTAGAAGGATAGAAGGAAAGAAGGGAGGGAGGAAGGGACAGGTAGCAGCGACGGGGCGGGGAGAGAGAGAGGGGGGGGGGGATAAGTAACTATAGATAGGGGTATAGAAGGAAGGAAGGAAGACAGGGGATAGAAGGAAGGAAGGAAGAGAGGGGATAGAAGGAAGGAAGGAAGAGAGGGGATAGAAGGAAAGAAGGGAGGAGAAGGGACAGGTAGCATTTCTCTGCGACGGGGCGGGGAGAGAGAGAGGGGGATAAGTAACTATAGATAAATGGGGGGTAAAGAAGGAAGAAGGCAAGGAGAGGGATAGAAGGAAGATAGAAGGAAAGAAGGGAAGGAAGGACAGGTAGCATTCTCTGCGACGGGGCGGGGAGAGAGAGAGGGGGGGGATAAGTAACTATAGATAAATGGGGGGTATAGAAGGAAGGAAGGAAGAGAGGGGATAGAAGGAAAGAAGGGAGGGAGGAAGGGACAGGTAGCATTCTCTGCGACGGGCGGGGAAGAGAGAGAGAGGGGGGGGTATAAGTGCTTATAGATAAATGGGGGATAGAGGGGGGATAAAGAGGGGAATAGGTGCTGATAAAGGATAAAAAGGAAGGAAAGAAGAAGGTGGGAAGGGATAAGTTAGATGGGAAGGAAGAGAAACGAACGAGAGAGAAAGTTAGAATTATCTTGTTTATTTTGTAAAGGGAGGATTGAGAAGAGAAGTGTTAATAAAGAATGGAAAGAACGAAGGAAGGGAGGGACGAAGGAAGGAAGGAAGGGAGGAAGAGAGGAGGGAAGGGGATAAAAAGATTGGAAGGGAGGGACATTTTCAATTCCATTTTTTAAGAAAAACAATTTCTTTTATGTTTGTAATGTAAAACAAAACAAAAACGGATATATATTTTTTACCTTAATGTCTACAATAAAATCTTCTATTTCTTAATTGCACCGAAAGACGGGAAAGAAGAGACAAAGGATAAAAAAGAGAATGGAAGAAAGAATAACAAAAGAAGAAAAAAAATTACCTACTCATATTTACAAACAGATTTTTCCTTCTCTTCGAATATTCAAATCACTGAAAAAAAAACTGACATAATCCCCGCTTTCAATCACAAATCAAAACATCTACAACAAATACAACAACCAACCCAGAACACATGAACCAACAAACCTTAAACAAAAACAAAGAATAATACCCTAAAACCCTTACTTGTAAACCCACACGTGGAGAGGGTTCCAGTCGGTTACCATAAACCACTGTCTGATGTCGAATTTCGTGTTGTGGATCAGCAGTGGCCGCTCTGTGGAGGAATGGGTGGGAGGGTCAGTATAAGAGGTGGAGAAGGAAAATGAAAAATAAGGGAAAATAAAGGAGAGTGGGAGGGAAGGAGGGGGGAAGTGAGAGTGGGGAAGGTAGGGGGGGGGAGAGGGGGAAGTGTGAGGGGAAGGAGGAGAGAAGTGTGTGGTAGGGGAGGTTAGAGGGAAGGGAAGGTAGGTGTGAGGAAGAAGGGAGAAAAGTGAGTAGGGGGGGGGGGGGAGGAAAGTGTGAGGGGAAGGTAGGGGGAGAGGGGAAGGTAGGGGAAGTGTGAGGGAAGGAAGGGGAAAAGAGGGGAAGGAAAGAAGTGTGAGGAAGGAGAGAGGAAAGAAGGGGGAAGGAGGGAGGAAAGAGGGGGGAAGGTAGGAAGTGTGAGGGAAGAGGGAGAAAGTGAGTGGGTGGAAGGAAGTGTGAGGGAAGGAGGGAGGAAGAGGGAGAAAAGAAGGAAGTTATGAGGGAAGGAAGGAGGCACATAGATAAATAGAGAGGTAAATAGATAGGTAGGTACGTAGGTAGACACAAAACAGTCGTACAGAAAGATGGAAATACACACTAATAGATGTATTAAACATTATGTAAATTCTATTTTTTATCTCAAGACAAAACTTTTTTGAAAGAAGTATGGAATACTAGAATATCGAATGCTATTACCATTAACTTTTAAAATGAAATAAATCATAAACATGTACGTAACACTCCATCACTTACTTATTTAATCATTTATATACACATGAAAACACTAATATACACAAACACGCCAACATAATTACAAACACAGAGCGGAGCAGAAACATGAACGTACAAGAAATGTGAAGATAAACACACATGACCTAACCAAACACACACACGCACACTTATTCTCTCTTTCTTTCTTTCTCTCTCTCTCTCTCTCTCTCTCTCTCTCTCTCTCTCTCTCTCTCTCTCTCTCTCTCTCTCTCTCTCTCTCTTTTACTCTATCTATCCATCCATCTATCTATCATCTATCTGTCTATCTGTCTGCCTCTCTTTTTATTTACCGGTTTATCTATCTCCCAACTTATCAATCTGTCTAAATATCTATCTATCTATCTCCTATGTATATATCTATCTATCTATCCGTCTCTCTCCACAACCGCCTCCCCCCCCCCTCTATCCTCTCCTCCTCCCCCCCTCTCTCCTCTCCTCCCTCTCACCCCCCCCCCACTACACACACATGACCTCCCTCTTCTCCCGTCTTCCTCTCCCCTCTAACCTCTAACCTCTCCCCTCTCTCCTCCCCCTCCCCCTCTCTCACTCTTACACATACACACACACACACATACACTCTTCTTCCCCTTCCCTCTTCTTCTTCCTTTCTCCCTCTCCCCCTACCCCCCCTTTCCCCCTTCCTCCTTTCCTCCCTCCTCCTTCCTCTATCCCCCTTCCATCTCCCTCCCTCCTTCACCTCCCCCCTTCCTTTCCTCCTTCCTTTTCCTCCATCCCCCTTCCCCCCTCCCCCTCCCTCTTTTCCTCCATCCTCAATCTTCCATCACCCTTCCTCCATCCTCAATCCTCCCTCCACCTTCCTCCATTCCTCAATCCTCCTTACCTATGTACTTCTGGACGACATACTTGGTCTCGTAGATGAGCGGCGACTGCACCAGCGACAGGATCTCCTCCAGGTGGTTCATCATGAAGATCCCGCGACCCCTGGACTGCGCCCCTGGTTTCACTATCCACAGGTTCCTCAGGCCGTCCATCGCCAGCTGTGGCCAGAAGGGCTCTACGCGGCGGAGGGCAGATTCGCACTCCTTCACGAGGGTCTGTCGGGAGGGAAGGGGAGGGATGGGAAGTGTAAAGATGTGATTATATTGCGGTGGATGTGGAGTATCTGTGTCCATGTCGAAATGTTACTTATTTAATTTGTAAGTCCTGCAATCTACTGTCCAGTCTTATAGTCATGGTCCCTCGGATATTCTTTATGTTACTTATTTCACTTGTGTCCTGCATTCTATTGTCCAGTCTTATAGTCACGGTCCCTCGGCCATTCCCTTAAATGTTCCTTATTTCACTTGTGTCCTGCATTCTACTGTCCATTCTTATAGTCATGGTCCCTCGGCCATTCCCTTAAATGTTACGTATTTCCCTTATAAGTCCTGCAATCTACTGTCCAGTCTTATAGTCACGGTCCCTCGGATATTACCTTAAATGTTACTTATTTCCCTT